AGAAAAAATGCATTAAGATGGAATAAGTATGATAGTATGTGTCAGTACCCTAAGGGTAAAAAACATTACTGGGATGTTGTAATTATATCCAAAACAAACATTATAAATCAAAGAAATTCAGGGTCAAGGTCAAACTTCGAAGGAATCCAAACATGTCAAGGTATGGAAATGCACAGATGAGGCACCTAAACAACCTAAACTTTGCCCTGTAATGATGCCAGTCAATACTTACCTAATTATGATTATAATATGTTAGTGTGGGGTCCCAGTTTAGATTAATCTGATTTTAAAGAGAAAGGAGTTTTTCACTTCTTTCACATGGCGGCATCATAAGGGATGGAAAGATACAGTTGAGGCATGCAAACAACCTTAACTCTGTCCTATAGTGATGTCACTAGAGAGGGAAAAAAGAACATCTTTAAAAATCACTTTAATCTAACCTGGAAACAGATACTTAAAAATGCTTTAATCATAATGGTCTGATTATTTCATGGTGTCACTACAGGGTAGAGTTAAGGTTGTCTGTATGCCTTAATGGTGCATTTCCACCCCACAGCATGTTTGGATTTCTTAAATTTTATTAACATCAACTCTGAATTTCCTGGGATTATAACACTTAGTTTGGGGATAATTATAATTTTCCTGCAATGTATTTTACTCTACATTGGAATTAAGATTGACATTTAATAGCAGTAGTTTAACATAGTTTTTATTTGTCAATTTTAACAGCTCAGTACAGGTCCCTGACATTAGCACATGGATAATAAAGCCATGAAATATTGGGAACTATTACTGAATTAATTAAAACAAAATGAAATCAGGGCTAAAATTTTCCCAGTCTGAGAAAAGAACTTTTTAAAAATTCTTACCTCACATAATTAATGGAGATATGCAGGTTTCTGGTTTTGCTTCATTTAGGCAAAATCTATGGAGTATTTTTTAAAAAAAATTTACATAATAAAACGTTTAAGGTTTAGATGATGGCAGTCTAGTCATCTAAAGATCCACAAAACAGATTTTTTGTTCATGTTGAATAAATCCATTATATGTAACAATTAATGTGATCCAAATATTATTCTATGACAGAAACTACAGCATATAACGATATTTGTCAGAAATACTGATCATAATATAACAATGACTGTATTATCCACTATAAAAAGTAGGCTGTCTTAAATTTTGTTAGAAACTAGGAGTGAGTCAATTTTCACCTCTCACTCTTCAGCCTTGCTTTGCCAGTGCGCTGAAAAAAAATTAAAATCTCCAAAACACAGTGGAAGATCCAATTGCAGTTTCATAGCTATGTTGAGTTTTGCATTTAAAGTAGGGATTGAACCATTCTGTTCTATTTTAAAAATACATTTTATCATCCCCAGAATGACCACACGTTTTGAGTACAGAATAGATTACTTAGTTGGGAATTTAAACGAATTAAGAATCAGCTTTTTAAAGAAATGTAACACCTACTGTCAGTTAATTTAGATTTTTTTTTAAAGATTATCTATAACTCTGAATTTCCTAGGTTTGTAATACTAGGGTTTGGGAGTGATTAAACACCCCTGTGATGTTTTTAAATCTCAACCTTAACTTCTGTTTAACAGTTTTTTATCTGAGTAAAATCTACTTTTCTTGTTTAGCTACTCTAAGAAAACATTTACATTTTGGCAAAATGCAGTTTCCTTCTTGCTGACTTTTCTGTCCTACTGTTATTACAAGGAAGTACTTGCAAGGTAGTTCGTTCAACACAGTAGATAAAAACATAGTTTTCTGTAGATTACATCTTTATGGTATTTATAGAATCCTCCTTTTCTGTCTACTAAATCTTTAAAAAATTCTTCTAACCATCTTCTTCTAATTGCAGGTTTTTTTAGATCTGTGCAGAGGCTAGAAGTTCCATACGGGGAAAGATCTCAAAATGAGATGTTGCAATTTGGCTGGGTCCGGAACTGAAAGGTAACACGCAACTTTCAGAAGTCCCCAGGAAGGAAAATTTTAAAAATATAGTTTGGTTTTGATCAAAACATTTATTGAGACAAAAATGTTATGAAACATTCTGTTTTGATTTTTTTTTACTTTACATTTTCGATGCCATTATTATGCAAAATAAACAATTCCAAGAGGAAAAGTTAATTCAGACTGTACAATGGAAATGTTTCATTCTGAACATGGTGACGCTTTTTGACATTTTCAGAAAGTTGGGTTTTTTCCTGGTTTTCTCTTAAATGAAATTTCAGTGACGCCAACATAATTCCCGGAAGCCTTTCGATGGCACTGCATTCTCTGGTGGCAAATGGTTCTGTCCCAGCGACCAGCCCCGAGTATAGGGCACGGTTAAAACATTGCTCTTGTATCTAAAGAAACAACCCATCCATAGATTCATAGATTCTAGGACTGGAAGGGACCTCGAGAGGTCATCGAGTCCAGTCCCCTGCCCGCATGGCAGGACCAAATACTGTCTAGACCATCTTCACATGCTCAGAGCAGCACATCCGCTGATGTGCTGGGACTTTCCCTGCACTGCGGCCGGGCGATGCTCGAGGTCTGGACTGAAGGATGCACCTCAGCCAGTTTCTCACACGAGGGAGCCAGTGTGCTCATACTAGAGTAGCCAGCTGAGGGATGATTGACATTAGAGTAGGCTTGGACCAGGAGACAAAGAGCCAATTAGTGTTATGTGAGGTGCAGTAGTGCAGAGTTTTATATATCTATAACTTGTTCTCCATACTTGGTTCTTAGTCACTCTCCCAGGAGCTGCTGTTTAGATGATTTCTTTTTCTCTTGTGTGATAGACTTTTATTGCATTAATTTTCTCATGGTGAATGACATTTGACTATCTCTAGATGATGTGCTAAGGGCTGGTCTGCATACAAAGGAGCAATCAACAGAAACTGCATCAGTTTTAATTTACACCTTCATTCCTCTGGTGCAAGTCTATGTCTGGACACTAATTTCAGATGCTAATGATTATGGTAGCACCCAGGAGCCCCAGTCATGGCCCAGTATCCCATGGTGCTGGGCGCTGTACAAACCCAGAACACAAAGGCAGTACCACACTATCCCAAAGAGTTTACAGTCGAAGGGTCCTATTTTCCTTCTGCTGATGTCAATATGCAAAACTGAAATAGGATTCTGTTATTCAGAAATAAGTGTCCTCACAGAGAAATAACAAGAGCTGTGAAGTAAAACCGATGTAGTTATTTCCATGCAAATTTGTGTCCACTTCTGCCCTAAGAAACAGAGCTTCACCAGCAGCTTCACTAGGGGTTGACACATTTCTTTTCTTTTGTTTACTGTGCAGAATGCGGTACTGTTCAGCATTCTTAGTGTACTTACCACTGGAACATTAGTGAGGAGTGAAATCGTTGTTATGTTGTTTCATTGTTGTTTTCTGTGTGGGTCGTAAAGGAAAAATAAAGACAACTTCTTTTTTAAAAAAAGCTGTACAAATTTCCATAGGATGCAAATTTATTATAGTTTCCAAAAGATCTAATTGACTTAGGAGCCTAAATTGTGTTGGCTTTCAATGGGACTTGGGCTCCAAAAATCTCATAGGTCCTTTTGAAAATATAATAAGAATAGTTAATTTGGATTATACTACTGCTCAGATACCACAGTGCTGGGAGATTAGATAGATAGAATGGTGTGTATGGAATAGATCGATGGATCCATCTATCTGTCTCATCTCACTGGTCTCCAGATCCAGGGCCCCATTGTGTTGCGCACTGGTGGGGTCTTTCCATTGACTTTAGGAGAGTGTGGGTGAGACCCTGGAGGCAGACCTGCCCACTGCATTGATAGGGGAGTTGGCACCCTTCAGCCCTTTATTACCAGCTCAAAGGTGTCTAATAGCGCCATGCTCTTTGGGCAGGTAAAGAAAAGGAGCCTGGAGCTAGAGAAATGAGCTATCTCGGTATACCTGCTTCGGTGTGAGCCCCCTCCTGTACCACCCTGATCAGCACCTTCATTGCCAACCCCTGCCAGCCCAGCATTGCCATTATAAACTGGCTTGCCCCCCTCCCCTAGCCTCCCATGCGGGCGCCTCTAGAACGCAGCCCCTGAGTTTGACTCAAAGCCACAATGTTTATTTAAAGGATTGAATGGCAACAAACAGGCCCCTGTGGGCTTGGATCAGAGACAGTGAAGACATGCTCAAGTCAATTACACTTGACAATGCTGTAATGGCCCGTGGTAAGTGGCCCCATTAGCCCGGCCGGCTCTGCAAGTCTATGGGGCCTTTTCAGGGGAGTTGCCGGCTAACCCAGCGGCATCTGCAAGACAAAGGAGCAGAGATGGGCCTGAAGATGTAGAGCTGGGCTCAGCTCACGAGAGTACGGTGTTTAGACGCAAGGAAAAGCATCCCCGATGCCAAGACATTGAGGGCCTGCTGCTGCTGTCAGACTGACCGGTGTCAATGCGCTGGAGGGAAGGGGGCAGTGGGTTACCCCAGTGTCAGTGCATGGCAACCAGGAGATTTACCCCACAGCAGACTCTGGCCCAGCGCCAAGTGGGTTCCGGATCAGTGTGGCTGGGGTACCCAGCAGCGATCCACATCCCACGTGGGCAGCCCGCCCAGTTTAGTGGGTGCCGCTTTAATCTTAATTGCCTGCTTTACCCGGGTTCGGCCAACCCCTCCTTGCAGGCTCGGGGGCGAGAGGCTCTAATCCCTCCCCCCTCGCTCGACAAGTTCATTGGGGGTTCCTGGCCTGTCCCCTAAGCCTGCCCACCCCCTGCTCCTGCAGCCTCCCCGGGGCAGCGAGGCGTCGATTCTGCAGCTGGCGACCCTCTCGGGTCCCCGGTCTCCGCAGCTCGCTCCGAGCCCGGCCTCGCTGGGCGCAGGCTGCGAGCGACTCGCTGTCTGGTCGGGTTCCAGCAATGGGAGCAGAGGAAGGATGTAATAACATGCCACGGGCAATAAATCATCGCTGGCTACTCCCCTCCCCCTCGCCCCGCATCGCCGCCCCCCTCTAGAGAGGGGAGGGGACCAGGCATTTCAGCAGAGCTCAGCCGGCAGCAGCAGCCTCCGGACTTTCACTCCCAGCTCGCCCCCCTCGCCAGCATGAACGGGAAAGCCCTAGCGCTGCTCGCTTGTCTGCTGCTCTCGCTCTCCCTCTCGGAGGGTAAGTGTGATGGCTCCACTCCAGCCCCCCAGGTCGCGGCGGCCTTTGCCCCCGTGTATTGCAGCCGTCTGCCCAGGCACGGTGGGGCTGGAGCTGGGATCGGGGCATGGGGCGGGCGGGAGGAGCGCTGTCAGCCCACGGGAGGGAAACTTGGCAGAAGTCTCGGCCCGCTTGCAGCTCGTTTCCCCGGCTTCTGGGGGGTGCGTGTCTGTGGAGCTGGCCGGTCCACAGCGACTGCTGAGCCCAGGTTTCCGTTGGAAAGGAGAAACCAGCAACGCGGGGTTTGGGAGCGACCCCTACGGGCGGATCTCGCCACGGCTGAGACTTGGCGTCCGCCCCCCGTGGGCATTTGCTCGCGTGTCCTTGCCCAGCGGCGTCCGGCTGTGTGCAAAGCTCGCTGGCCCGGACAGTCCCCAGCCCCTCCGTGCGCCGCAGCGATCGCTGAGCAGGGAGCGGCAGCCCCCGGCAGGGCTCGGGGAACGGGGGTGCCAGCGGGGCAAGCTGCTCGGGCAGGCTGCCGAGGGGTTTCTGGGTGCAAAGCGAGAGCCGCCCTAGCTGTGTTTGTAATTACACAACAGCGACACCTCCTCCTCCAGCTAACGGAGCGCAGCTCCACGCTACCCGTTAGCCGCTGCGGAGCTCTGGGTCTGCTCCCAGCCAGCACCGGGCGGCCACTTGTCCGTGGGACTCCTTCCCCTGGAGCAGAGACCAAGCCTCCCTCCTTTGGAGAGCAGCGGGAGAAAACCGAAAATGTCTCGGCTCTTGGCCGCTCCAGCCCAGACAGCTGGCGCCCCCCGGGATCTGCTGTGGGTTGGATCTTGGGGGCACCGGGTAACTTTGCTAGTAGGGGCCGGCATGCGCTGCCGGCCTGGGTGCGCGCGGCGAGCCGGGGCAGCTGGAGGGTGGCACGTGTGTTGAGTGTCTCTGGGTCTGGGTGTGCAGCGGCGGGTGTGCTGATTGCAGGTTTTACACCTGTGTCTTGTGGCGCTCCGGAGAGCCCTGACCCGGGCGCCTGCGAACCTATGTCGATCCTGGTGCGCCCCTCGGGGTTGTCCGTGCGCCCAGACCAGATGCGGCTAGGCTGCAAATGCGAACTAATCGCTGCTGCTAAGTTCATGGGACGTTTTCCATGAAATAGCCCCTGCCCTTGGGAAATCAAGCAAAACACCGGCCTCCTTGATACCCACCCGGGTCCTTCGAGCGATCAGATCCTTTCAGAAATAAGTCCGTGAATGTTTGTAGTGACGTGAGAGAGAAGAACTCCTAAGCGCAATCGCGGCAGCAGGTATCTCTGTGCGTGATAAATCGGGAATGTGCTTTTCACAAAATCTATTTGGCGTGAAAATGAATCCGATGTATAAAGATAACACCCTACCCGGGATAAATTCGGATTCTCTTAACTGAGCGCCGGGGGCGTTTAGACGCTGGCTCATCAACATTTTGGAGGCGCAAAATTGTATTTAAGAAGGAGGAAAATGTAAACACGGACTGGTCTCAAATGTACATGAATAAAACCAGTCCCCGTCTCTCCGGGGCAGAGCGTGAAGGGTTTTTTTTGCTCATTGTGCATTAGCCTTTGCTACCCCGCGGGATCTTTCTCTAGGTAGATGGATTGCTGATCACACGCGCGTTTCTCACTCCTTTGCCTATGAAGCCCCTTTTCTAGGCTGGGATATGTTCCAGCAAACGGCTCTTTGTAACTTGCACGATCCCTGCCCAAGGTCTCCCTGCAGGAATTCACCGCATCGGTTTCCTCCGCGGAACTAGAAAGAAAACCCAAAGGGAGGCGGGAGATTTCGCTGTGTTAGTTTCACTCCCAAGATATTGACAAGGGTCCCGATCCGGTTGCCTCCAATGGCAAAAATCCCACTGCCTTGAAGGGTGCAGGATTGGGCCCTAGCAGCCCCGGACTCGCTTACATGTGCGTGCCCCCCTCTGTTTAGGCATTGGGAGGCAGAGATTTTAGCTCTCCCACTATTTCACCTCTCCTGCTCCCACCCCCAATCTGGACTGTAACTCCTGAGCAGACTGTAACTGGCTGCAGCCTGGGTAAACTGAGCAAGGGATGGTGACCGTCTGAACCCATCTCACTGTTCCTATGGGCATGGCTTCACAGCGGCACAGCCCTGCCTACAGTCAAGCTGCCCTGGCTGCGGTGGGCTCCTGCAGCCCCTCGTCCCTGGCACACTTGGGAAGGGGATGCTGCTTTCCTTTAGGGGCCTCTCTGCTCTGGCAGCAGCTCCAGGCAGGCTCCTTGCAGGGGCTGACTTCTCCGGGTGAATCACAGTTTGTGGGTTTAGAGACTAAGGGGTGTGTGTGTGTCAGGGATTGCATTAATAAATAAAGGAAACAGTGAGCTAGGAGCAGACCTTTGCCCCCCAATCTCACTTTATTAAAAGTGGAGCAATTTCATCATGGTGTGAAACTGCTGAATACAGCAATATTTAACCCCCCCGCCCCAAACCCTCTATATAGGAGTGATGTCCCAAGCCCCCAGGACCGGCAGGAGCCCAGGGAAGCACTTGTGAGTGGTGCTGGGGGTGGGGGGAGAAATGCCTGATAAAGGGGTCCCAGGGACTGCTCCTTGCAGTGGAAGTGGAGGGTGATTGCCCCCTCCATACTCAGCCTGCCACGGTGGCTTTCTCAGTTGGTTTCTGATCCGCGGTGGAAAGCTGGCTACAGCAGATGAGTCAGTGTCCTGGTAAAATAGCCCCTTTGAGTTAACCTCTGCTGTCCTTACCCAGGCAAAACTCCCCGTCATCCATTGCCTAAGCAGACATGGTGGGCTCGGCAGGTGCTGTTGTCTTCCCCTACACAGAGGTGTGTTTGTAGGGCAGGATACGTAAGGTTTCAGGGCTTGTCTACATGGGGAAATAAGAGACTCAGGTGAAAATTTAAACTGCTGTAACCCCTGTGTGGACACACTCATTCCAGTATAAGAGGCCTTTTTTGGGATGTTATCTTGTACCTGTTTGGAAGGGATTTAAGCCAAAGAGGGGAAAGCCACCCTGTCCTGGAATAAGAGTATCCACATGGAGGGCTAGCTGGGTTTAACTATATGTGTGTGGTTGTGCTGGTGTAACTGGTACAGCTGTCCCATGTAGACAAGCCTTTGGCTTTCCTTTTGTAATAACACAGTGGAGTGGAGGCTCTGTTTTACTGCAGGATAAGCCAGGTGCGGCCAGCCCCAGGGGTATCACCCTGGACTCACCTGGCCACCTAAGGGCCTTGCCTCCGCTCAGGATTTTACAGGGAGATAAGAAGGGGTGGAGCTGGAAGGGGTAAATTCGAGCCCCAGTGGGACCCGCACCGGCTCTGATCTGCTAGCAAACTTAGAACAGAGAGGCGCCCTGATGGTGGGCTTGGTGTCTTGTTCTGCTCCACCTCCATCCTGCTTTTAGCCTGCTAGCTGGATCAGAGCAGATATGGGGGTGGGGAGTTACACCTCCAGCTCCAGGTGGAAAGGCATCCTGTGGGTCAGAGCCGGGTGCGTGTGTTTTAATGAGATTGCTGAAGCACTGTAGCTATCCCGGTAAAATGCTACCTGCCTCAGTGATCCCCTGGGAGAGACCTGCCTTCTTCTCAGTGGAGACATAGCCCTAGTGTATGTCCGTCTGAACTGGGGAGGGGGAGCTCTGGGGAAGTCATTGCCTCTCTAGGCTGGAGCACTAGCAGGGCAGCTGCAAGCAGAGGTCCCCTGGCTTCCCAGGGCTGATGCGGAGAGCTGACCTGATGCACATGCTGCCCACTCCCCAGTGCTTGTAATGCCCACTGTAATGAGATGCTGCCTGTGCAAAAAGAGCTTGGGTTTAAGACTTGTGCAGCCTCACTTTGATATATATGTTCCTTGGGTTATAAAATCACTAGTCAGTAGATAGTCACGTCTAGTCCAGGAGAATACCCTGATTCACTCTATGGGAGAAACGCTATGGATACTGACCAACAATCCCTACACACCCGCCTCCATGGTCGTTATGCACAGCCCAGATTCTGACCACCAGAGTAAAACTGGAGGATTCTGCTGAGGTCAGGGGATACTCTGCATTTCTTCCCTGCAATTGCAATTGCTCTGCAGTGGGGATCAGACACTGGCTCACACAATCTTTCATAAAGGTTGCTTGTGATAAGGATTTTCCTGTAATTTCCTTCTTGGAGAAATGGTGGCATCCCCCAGCATTGTGCCCCAGGGTTTGTTTGAGGGTAACCGGAGACGAACATCAGTCAGTGTCTAGTGTTTGTAGATCAGGTGCAGTTTTACTGGCTGCCTCTTTTTTGACCTTCCCAGACAGCAGTTTAAGGAGCTTGCAGCTTGCGCGGGATTCAAAGCCCCTTTCTGTTCCATAGCCTTTAAGGGCAGCTTTGTTTGGGTACTGAGCTGTGCTGTGTAGCAAAACAAACAGAGATGTGGAAGGCAACATTGGATCCAAAACTCCTTCAGACGCTGCGCTGGGAAATTTGGATCTGAACCCAGATCCTGCGCCAAACTTCATGGATCAGCTTCCCTCAAAGAGCTCACAACCAGCAACTGAACAACTGTCCAACGGGAAACGGTTTGAAATCCTATGAAAGTCCCAAGGCCCCAGAGATGCTTCCCCTGACTCTGTTATAGTGTGCAGACGTTTCAGGAAGGAGTCACAATTTCAGCTGTGTACACACTGGGGGCTGGATAATGCATCCCTCCAGACCTCGGTGGGGGCTCAGCCTGGGGACAGAGGTCAGGATCAGCCCCAAGAGTGAGCTGGGCTGTCCTGCATACACATCTGCTGCAGAATTTTAAGCTCAGGGCCTAGATATGGTCCTGCTCCCATTGAAGTAGATGGCAAACTACCCATTGATTTTAGCAGTACGGAATTGGGCCATGTAGAGCATGGAATGACTCATGACCGGGTGTCCTGAATGGCTGTGATTGTGTCATGTGCAGGAAGTTCAGAAGGATCCGAATCCACACTGTTGATGCCCTGTCTCCCGCTGCACAGTACCTAGTCTGAGAGCAGCCCCCTGCCAGCAGGCACTCGGCAATGTGAGTACAGGCCAGGCCGTATGGCAGGACCCTGGGAAAGCTCCCAAAGGCCCTGGCATACGCTGCCTCAGATCAGTTCCCAGCCAGGAGCTTGCACCTGGGCAGAGCCCCTTGTTTTGATTTGGACTCCTTGGAATTCCTGGCTTTCTGCTGCCTACCTTCTAATCTGGCCTCAGGTCAAAATCATTTGGCAAGAATAACAGAGCAGACAAGTGCCTCACTCTTCTATCCTTTATCTCATCTAATTACCAGCAGCAACTCAGGACAATTGAGTGGCTCCTTATTCTAATCTCTTCTCCATTTCTTAGGGTCCAGTTTCTCACCCCTTCCTTTGTCTTCTAAAATCACAAGCAGAAGGATTAGAAGGCCCGGATGGGAACAGGAGAGGGTTTTGACACACTGCTCCAAGGCCACAGCTGTTCCATGGCTCTCTTCATCTATATGTTTTCTTCATGCCTATCTAGGAGAGGAACTGTAGGTGCCACTGGGCTGCAGGTTGTCACCACTGCCAAGAAGGAACAAGTAACGTGTGTCCTCTCTATTTCTGCATCCCACAGAGAAACCCGTCAGCCTGACCTACCGATGCCCCTGCAGGTTCTACGAGAGCAACGTGGCTAAAGCCAACATCAAGCACCTCAAAATCCTGACCACCCCGAATTGCTCGCTGCAGATTGTGTAAGTCTCCGGGTGCTTTTTAAGGCTTTCCTTGGCCTCAGACGGTAAGCTGGGCAAGGAAGGGAGCAGAAGGATTTCGCCAACCTCTGTAAAAGGTGCCACAGTCTCCATGCACTGCCCCAGCCTGGGTTTGAATTTGCATGGGGCCCAGCACCTTCTGCAAGGTATGGAGCAGAGCAAGTAGAACAGTTTCATTCAGCACATTTCCTCAGCGGGAAACGGCTTTTTAATGGTTTTCAGAAAAAAAGAATTCATTTTTATTGATGGGGGAGGGGAATTTTCAGAAAAAAAAAACCACAATGGAAATTTGAGGGTTTTCATCAAAAAAACGAAAATCCAAAAAAGAACAAAGACAAATTTAGATGATAAAAATGTAAACATAAAAAAAAATAGTTTTTGTTGAAAATTTTCATGGGGAAAAATATCATTTCCTCAGCAGCCCTAGTGCGGAGTAGCCTCAACTCTTGTGGGAGGCATGATTATCAGGTCCAATCCTCTGTGCTCAGTTCCTGCTACTGTCAGCAGTTCTGCCGTGGATCTAGATCTCCGTATGGCCTTTTAAATTGCACCATCAGAGCTGGAAAAAACTCTCCACTATTGCATGCCAAAAACCTGTGAGGTTTCATGTGATTTCTCAAAAATGCACATATTTAGTCAGATTTATTTTCAAGTAAAAATATATATATATATTAAAAAAAATATCCTACCCACACAGTTTCCTGCTTGTACCCCGCCTTTCATTTTGGTGGAGGACAATGGACAATTCAGTCCAAACTGAGAAATAATTTTCTCTTCCTGAAAATGGCATAAACATGATGTGTTGTGTGTTTCGCCAGCTCTGGTTGCTACTTGATGGAATGGAGAGGCATGCATCTAAACAGCTAAAGTACATGGATTTGTGCTCTTCTGGGAATGCCTAATACACATCGTGAGAGTCAAGAGAAACCCACTGGGAAGGCTTTGGGGGGATTTGGAATGATCTGAAGTAGTTTAAACATAATGACAGAAATTTGAGATTTGATGTGATATGCATTTTTCTCTTGATTAACATGAGAGCGAAGTAATTAGAGATGGCAAAGACCATGACGTATTGAAATGGAAAAAACCTGTTTTCTTTCCCCCTGACATGGTCTGAATATGTTTATGGTCTACAGAACAGATGATCCAACCCCCTCCCCCTTGTTTAAAATTTGACATAAAAGAGATGTACCCGAAATGGAACCCTAAAATCAAACGCCACAGAATGTTAGGGAATTCTGCCCCTTGAACCCAACAGAAATTAAAAAACAAAATAAATGCTAACTTCTAAAAGTCCCATTTTAGCAGATTTTATCCAAACATTGAATTCAGTTGCTATGTGGCATGATGTGTTCTGGATGGTGGATGTGAGTACTTTAAATAAGTAATCAAAACTGTTTACTTTGAAATCCATCATTTTTTAGGACTGAAACATCTAATTGGAACCCCATATTATGGATTTATGAAGTGATCCTGTGGTTTTTTTTCCCCAAGCCAAATTCCCTTTGAAGTCAAGGGCAATTTTCCCTGAGCAAATTGTACAGGAGCTGGTCTTTATCTTTAAATACTCTGTGCATGGAGAGTGGTTGTTTGTGCTTTCAGTTTGTTACTCTCCTGTATAAGGCCAATTCTGCAGTTCCCATGTGAAGACAATGAGTCTGACTCTGCTCACACTTTGCACTGCTATAACTTCACTGATTTTGGTTTACACTGGTATAGTGATTTACACTGGCATAAGTGAGATCAGAACCAGGCCCAATGGAAACCCTATTGGCGGAAGGACCGCAGGATCGGGTCCGCAGCAGTACGACCAGTACATGAGTATTCACACGGCTGCAGAACTAGCAACATTTTAGATCCCCCTGCTTCTTTCATTGGCTTACTTTTTATTAGACATTAAGGCCTCAGTCTTGCAGGTGTGGAGCACTTTGGCTTCAATCCAAGATAGCTCTTAAGCATGTGCTTTACTTAAGCAGCTAAGCAGTCTGGCCCAAGTCAATGAGACTCGGGTGCTTCAAGTTAAGCGTGTGCTTAAGTGCTTTGTTGGATCAAGGCCAAAGTGCTCAGTACCTGGCAGGATTGAGTCCTTAATGAAGAGGAGAATTTGGCCTGTCTACATCAATGCATAGTAATAGGTGGTAATGCCTCTACAACATATTGCCAGTGCTGTTAGTGTGGCATTGATGGGCCTGATCCTGCAAGATGCTGAGCAACTCCTGCAGATGCCAGGTGCCCTCAACTCCCATTGTGCTCAGCTGGAGGTGAGGGACCTCAGCACTCAGAACAGGTACTCAGCACTTTGAAGGATCAGCGCCTGGCTTTACCGAGCTTTACATGTTCTGGATAAAGTGCTATATATCTTGTTTCTACCTGACACATCCCATTGAACCCAGAAGCCAGTGACAGATGAATTTCCAGAGGCTGGGAGATGGAGTTTAGTTCAGATAAGCATCCAGAAGATTGGATCTTTATCTGTAACGTATGTAATCTAAACCTCCTGAGTCTGCAAATCCAGGCTGGAAATTTCATGAGAACAGGCTTTCTCAAGAGATTTCTGGAACTTCCACTTCCGGGGCCGAGTGGAAAACACATGAGAGACTGTTCCTCTCTGGCAACATGGCATTTCCAGTTCTTTCCCTGCCAGAAGTTCAAACTCATGTGAGAATTAAAAAAAAAAAATAACAGAAGAACCTTTTGGATCCTCTCAAAAGTCCAGTTTGGTTTCTGTTCTAAAATTGGGTGAAAGTTCAGAGTCGGGCTGAGCATCGGGCAGTGTTCAGAGGTGTTTGTTAATTAATCTGTTGCAGAGACTGCGTATGCTCATCAGTTCTTTCCAAATGAAATGCAGCTCCCACATGACAGCAACACGGATGCTAATAATAAAATCCGGAGAATCAATTTATTTCCTCATTCACGCCCATGCAACCCAACAGCTGCCAACAAATGAGATTCAGATGAGGGGCTGAATTATGCTAGCCCTTAAAACTGGTGTAAATCCAGAGCATTTCCCATGAAGTTAGTGGGGTTACCCCAGACTCACCCTTGTGAAGCTGAGAGCAGAATTTGACATCTGGTGTAAGCTTGTGCAGTTCCATTGTCTTCACTAGAAGTGCGCAGGTAGAATGGAGGGCAGACCTTTTGTGCAATGTTATCCCTTGTCTTCACACCACAACTCTTCTCTTTCTTTTGACAGCGCAAGACTGAAGAACAACAGTAAGCAAGTATGCATTGATCCCAAGTTAAAGTGGATTCAGGAATATCTGGAGAAAGCTTTAAACAAGTAAGGCAAGAAACATACGGACTTACAGATAACACACCCTGAGAGCTTAAAGGGTAGGACGTTTAGGGCTGGCTTTAATCATATGGACCAAGTACTCAGTGAAATCAGGCATTGCTATGAAGATGGGATCTGAGTTTACCCAGTGTATATTAAAACAGTGGCTTACAGTATTTTTTATACTTTATATTAAGATATTTGTCAGTATTTGGGGCAAGAGGTATCCTAGCAAGTCAAAAATGGGATTCCCTCTTTCTAAAAGAGCAGTTCTCCCAAGGAAAATGCTTCCTTTATTCCCCTCCCCCACACAATCCACAAATATCTCAGAATCTTTGTTACTAAAGTATCTCTGGAGCCCCTTCTCCTCTTTGTGCTGGGAGTCTATGTGCACCGGCAGCTGACGGCTAGTGGGGATTGGCAGGCAGAAATCATGCCTTTGCCATTAAAATTTGCCAAGGCAACATCCATTGCTAACAAACCTTCTCCATTCCTGCCAGATGGTATTCAGCCACACCTGGCGAATTAGCAGGCCTGTTTTTCCTCATGGCATTGCAATGTGGCTCTCCTGCTGAGGGTCCCACACCAGTCAGCCTGGCTCATTAGAAGCCAGGTCAATTGGCTGCCGTTGTGAGTGAGCACAGAACAGAGACTGTCAGTCATTTCTGTACAAACAGGTCTTTGCAGTCTGCCTCAGATGGGAAATGAATCAAGGGAAGAGGGGAGGGAGCTCCCTGCTTGGGAAGGGCTCAGCCAAGGGACCAGCCAGCAGTGGCCTTTGGAGCAGCGAGGCCCCCTGTGCACGCAGAACCCCTCACCCCTTTCTGCACCTCATTCAGCCATGCGGAATCCCACCCCAGCTGCTGCTTTTTTCGCAGTGTGAGGCAGGGCTGGAATCCAGATATTTGCAGAGGGGAAGAGACACCTCAAGGAGGGAGGGGTCAGGGGCATCAGAGGGGAAAAGGAGGTGGGGTAGGCTGGTGCATTGCAGAGACTCCATCCTCTGCTTTTCTGAAGCGCTTTCAGGAGCCAGGGATAAGAATTCTTCCTGGCATGGGGGCTTCGCAATAGCCAGGGATGGGGGCACCCTCCCCCAGAGGCAGTCAAACTCCTTTGGGACTGGGGTGAGGCTACAGAGAGTGGGACGCATGGAAACCACTACGCAAATCACTAGCGATTCCAGCCCTGCCCTGCTCTGTGCCTTCCTTTGCCTCCAGCGTGCTGTCCCGTTGTCCTTGGGCCAACTTCAGTCCATGTGGACAGAGCTTGTCTGCACTGGAGTGGCACTGGAGTTCGGCACAGGCGATGCTAAGAGCAGAATGTGGCCTTTCACATACAGGTAGCTCCACCTGCTGTCAAGCAGCGTTGTGCTGCATTAAGGCCCAAGTTCAGCATGGTACTCAAGCATCTGTCTAATTTGGAACACATGAGTAGCCCCCTTAAAGACAGACAAGAGCTTAAGTACCTTGCTGAACCTGCAAATTAATGACCCTGGGTCACCTTCTGCTCTCACATCAATGGAGACCTGGGTCTGCTCCATTGAGAACAAAGGGCTAATTCTGGTCTCAGGTCTGATTCTGATCTTACTTACCCTACTGTAATCCTGAAGCTGCTCTATTGAATTCAGTAGATTTACTCCAGATTTACACCAGGGTAACAGATGAGAATTTGGTTCAGTTAAAGCATATGTTTGTGTCCACTAAGCTTACAATTGTGGCATGATCTTCATGTTCCAATCAGAAACGCTGGCACCCATGAAATTTCCATGCTCCAAGATCATCCATAGATGATCTGGTCTCTCTCTGTAATATTTCCATGGAGCATGTTTTTGATATATTTTAGTGCACAGCTTTGACTTTTTCAATTACATGTATTTCAGAATATATTCATAGTTCATTAAACAAGTCATATATTTGAATTGGAGCCATGCAAACGTTGGTAGTTCAAAAACTGATATCCCTCCAAACTACTAACAGCTTGTAAAATAAATAATTATAGATCTATAAATGTTAATGTAGCGTATCAATTTCAATCAGCCATATATTATATTTTTTCACTTGTATTGAAATTGTATCAAATGTGACATTACCCTCTATGCACCAGCAATAAAAATGGCTAATTGTTTCATGATACAACCCCCCAACTGTATGTGGGAATTTATTTTTCTGGAAAAAAATTAATACATTTTATAGAAGGGTTTCTTGCAAATTGCTTAAAGTTCACTTCATTTACTTATGTGTCAAGTTTACTCTATGCCGGTGCTTAAATGCTTAGGTCTCTTCTGCGCTATGATCCTGCAGCTATGGGGGACGGAAGGTGTTCCAAATACAATAGTCTAATACTTGATTTGAAAAATGAATGGGTTTGATTTGATAGTGAAATATCCAGGATGGTTTTCAGTAGAAAAGCATTTTGCTCACTAATTCTGCTTACCCTTTATTACTGCTTTATATTCATTGCACCTTCACGTAATATACACAATTATGTGACATCAGTAGAATATATTAACATTAGGGCTGTCAAGGGATTAAAAAAATTAATCGCGATTAATTGCACTGTTAAACAATAACAGAATACCATTTATTTAAATATTTTTGGATGTTTTCTATATTTTCAAATATATTGATTTCAATTACAACACAGAATACAAAGTGTACAATGCTCACTTTATATTTATTTTTGATTACAGGTATTTACACTGTAAAAAAACAAAAGAAATAATATTTTTCAATTCACTTAATACAAATACTGTAGTGCAATCTCTTTATCATGAAAGTTGAACTTACAAATGTAGAATTGTGTACAAAAATAACTGCATTCAAAAATAAAACAATATAAAATTTTAGAGCCTGCAAGTCCACTCAGTCCTACTTCTTGTTCAGCCAGTCACTCAGACAAACAAGTTTGGTTACAATTTGCAGGAGATAATGCTGCTTGCTTCTTGTCTACAATATCACCTAAAGGTGAGAACAGGTGTTTTCATGGTACTGTTGTAGCCGGTGTCACAAGATATTTACATGCCAGATGCGCTAAAGATTCATATGTGCCTTCATGCTTCAGCCACCATTCCAGGGGATATGTGTCTATGCTGATGATGGGTTCTGCTCGATAACAATCCAAAGCAGAGTGGACTGATGCATGTTCATTTTCGTTATCTGAGTCAGATGCCACCAACAGAAACTTTATTTTCTTTTTGGTGGTTCGTGTTCTGTAGTTTCTGCATCAGAGTGTTGCTCTTTTAAGACTTCTGAATGCATGCTCTACACCTCATCCCTCTCAGATTTTGGAAGGCACTTCAGATTCTTAAATCTTGGGTCGAGTGCTGTAGCTATCTTTAGAAATCTCACATTGGTATCTTCTTTGCGTTTTATCAAATCTGCAGTGAAAGTGTTCTTAAAATGAACAACATGTGCTGGGTCACCATCTAAGACAGCTATAACATGAAATATATGGCAGAATGTGGTTAAACCCCAGAGCAGGAGACATACAATTCTCTCCCAAGGTGTTCAGTCACAAATTTAATTAACGCATTATTTTTTTAACGAGTGTCATTAGCATGGAAGCATGTCCTCTGGAATGTTGGCCGAAGCATGGAAGGGGCATATGAATGTTTAGCATATCTGGCACGTAAATACCTTGCAATGCCAGCTGCAAAAGTGCCATGCAAATGCCTGTTCTCACTTTCTGGTGATATTGTAGACAAGAAGCGGGCAGCATTATCTCCTGTAAATGTAAACAAACTTGTTTGTCTTAGAGATTGGCTGAACAAGAAGTAGGACTGAGTGGACTTGTAGGCTCTGACGTTTTACATTGTTTTGTTTTTAAGTGCAGTTATGTAACAAAAAAAAATCTACATTTGTAAGTTGCACTTTCACAACAAAGGGATTGCATTATTGTACTTGTATCAGGTGAATTGAAAAATACTATTTCTTTTGTTTATCATTTTTACAGTGCAAATATTTGTAATAAAAATAATATACACTTTGATTTCAATTACAAAACAGAATACAATATATATGAAAATGTAGAAAAACATCCAAAACATTTAATAAATTTCAATTGGTATTCTATTGTTTAACAGTACAATTAAAACTGTGATTAATCGCGATTATTTTTTTGAGTTAATCTCATGAGTTAATCGTAATTAATCAAGAGCCCTAATTAACATCATTGGGAATTGGGAGCCCAGATCTTCTATCTGGCTTTAAAGACTACTGCGTAACCATGCTAGTCAACATTATTAATCTCACATACATTTTGATCGGCACAGCGCAAGTTATATCTTTCTTGAAACTGCTAACAACCCGTAATTCCCTTCCCGTAATAACTTACAGCTCAACCCTGGTAATCCTCCTTCCTCACTCAAGTAAAGATTTGAAAAATGGGGCCCTTTAGGAGTTAGCAGATCCAAGAAGAAAGAGAGGGCAGAGTAAGCACCTTGCCCATCCATCTAGCATTAGTGTAGCCCAGACTCCAACCCTTCCTTAAGCCTCAGATATTGGAGCTCTCTAAGCTCAGCTGGCCGCTCTGGTACAAACAAGAAAGCTGGTGGGTCTGGAAGAGAGAGGAAAGTAAAATAGAAAAAGATTCCTCTTGAGTCTTCTGGGGGAAATAAGGAAACTTCGAACTCTCCTGTGGCCGGCTGCAATCTTAGTTCTAGCACTTGTCAATCAATTAGTGGCAGCTCTTCCTCCTTTGTAAATATCAACTAAGTATAATAAGTCACGGTCCATATCTCCTGATCTTCTAGAAAGCCCTTCCAGTGTTTGTGTCACACGCTGGGCCTTTGCTGCCGCCTTTCAGTGTGATCATGGGCAAGCCACTGATGGCCTGATCCTCAGGGGTGCTGAGTGCTCAGCCTTTCCCCATTGACTGCCCCCCTGCCCCAGCCTTTCATGGACACATGCAGCTACATGCTGCGGTGTGGACGCAATCTGCTTTTCATGCGGCATGCAGCTGCATGTACCCCCATCACACTGCTGAACGAGGTGTGTAGTGTAGTCAGCCCCATTAATTGGTACTTGTACATTGCTTTGAGATCCTTATATGCCAGATGCTGTAGAAATATTCTGATGGTGATTATTTAGCATGTGGAAATGGCTTATCACCGGGACACTTTGGACCTGGTTCTGGTTTACACTAAGGCTCCTTTACCCCACTTTGGCAGTGAGTGCCGGGAAGTGGGTGTTACTGTAATTTATAGTAGGCCACTTTACCTTGCCAGAGTGGTGTAAAGGGGTCTTGGTGTCAATGCAAATCAGTTCCTTTGTATCTGGCCAATTTCTATGGCCGTCTCTCTCTATTTTTCTTTGGAGTTAGACCACTTCATGATCCTTATTAAATAAATAGCAGCACCAAGAGACACATGGCCCAATTCGACTGTGTGGTGCCAGTTCCCAGAGGGCAAGGATGGCCCAGTGGGTAGGGCGTTAGCCTGGGAGAGACCCAGGTTCTATTCCTGCTCCATCGCAGCCTTCTTCTGTGATCTTGTGCAAGTCGCTGGGTCTGTGTGCCCTGCCTAATGGGGATAATAGCACTGCCCTGCCTGCCAGCGGTGTTGCAAGGATACATACAGTAAAAGATTGTCAGGGTCTCAGAAATTATGGTCAAAGAGGACTCATTTTCACACTCTTAAAATGGCCTTGTTGCATTTACACTGATTAAAGTAATGCATTTTCTTCAGTTCAAAAACTGCTTAAAGAATCCAGCTTGCAAGTCACAAGGCGGATTTGTCTGACTATTCCCCACTCTGCCGTGGGTGCTAAGAAAGGCCTGTGCGTGCTGTGTATTAGCACCTGCTTATGATAGCACTTGCCAGCAGGAGAGGGTGGGGATTTCACACTGTTAAAAAGAGACCCACCTTTATGTAATGGCATATTCTAAAAACACAGGCCCTTTGTTGGTGAAATAATAGCACCACCAGTGAGCCTCCAATGGGCACTCACACAGTCTGGACTTGCTAATTAACACTGTACACAAAGACGTGAAATACAGTATTTCAGCTTTGTTATTTAAAAAATGCAAAACCTTTTAATGTCCTATAGCGTGTTTCATCCCACTTAAAACACCCGACAGAGGAAAATACTTAGTGCTTCACCAGTGCTTCGTATTTCCGAGCCACCCTATGGACGTTAGCTGCTTCATTCCCAGGATAAGTGTGTGAGGTCGGTAGATGGAGAAAGTATTATCATCCCATTTCACAGGTGGGGAAACTGAGGCACAGCGAGCCCTGCAGCAAGCCAGAATCGGAGGCAGGCTAAGGATTCAGCTGCTTGTGGCTCCCTGTCTTAAGCTTAGTTTTGTCCTTCTGATAACTAAGTGACAGAGATAAATAACTGTGGATTTGTTATTGATGTTTTAAATGACAAAACCAGAATGTAGGTGTGCAGCGCAGACTGTTACATTGGCCACGTTTCTGGGTATTAAGGAAAGCCACCTGTTTTCTTGGGACTATTAGATTAGACCGAGTGATTAGCTACATTTTGGCAGAAGATTATACATGTCGTGATGCAGATGGGCAACATTCTCCTCTCCCTTGTGGATGGTGGATCTTGGCTCCCATATTTTGCTCTCTCCGCATGCACAGACCTGAGATCTCCGGCGCTAGGGAGAGCAGGGTATGGGACTTAAGATCTTCTGTGTCTTTCTGAGAGAAGAAAATTGCTTAACTTTTAGTAACTGTCATGGTTCAAATGAGTGTCCGAGGCTACTGATTGCGGCGAGCTGAGAGCAGCTCTTGTCATTGGGTCTCATCACATAAAGGCTGATCTGCTCAGATAGGTAACAGCAAGGGACAGAATGTGCTTCTGAACAGCTGGCTGGGGTAGGGTTGGGTCTGAAGCTTTTTTAATAGCCTGATATTAATCCACAGCCATTTGCAAAGCTGATCCTCCTCAGATGCACCAAAGAAAGAGCACAGTGAGCTCCTGGGATCTGAGGGACCAGGCTGTAACGGACCACCTCTCCTTGAGCAAATGACCCCAAGCAAATGGTCACTCCCAGCTAACTCCAGGGGAAGGCAGACACCTGCCTGCCATCTGCTCTGACGTCCAAGGGGAGCTGAACAGAGCAGGGCTTGGCCTGGCCCCTTTCAGAGCTAGATTCCGCCCAGTGGCTCAGAGATGAGGGAATGGTGATGTACGTCCGTGCAGCACAAGAGCAGCATGACTTGGCTGTACTGCCTTTGCTCCTTGCTCTCCGCACCATCCCCCTTTGCAGAGCTGTCCCAGTGCCTTGCATTTTGCTCCCTGGGCCAGTTCTGATCATGTTTTAACCCTGTACTATCCCCACTTCCCCCATTCGTTTTTGCTGCATCTCTGTGCGCAGCAGCGTTCCTTGCTCAGGCTTCAAGGTCCAGAATGAGCCTCCTAGGCAGCCCTTTTCCTGCTTAGCGCTGGACACTTTACTAACTATGATCAGCATTACCTGCAAAAATAACCACCAATGCTGGGCTCAGGCTTCAGGGCCTCAAGAGCTCCTCCCTCAGGCACCACGCAGCCAAACTGCCTTTGCTTTTGTCTTGACACACAATGTAGTGGCAGCCCTTATGTGACTAGGCCTGATAACTAAGCTCTTATCCACTGAAAGAAACCTTAATAGTATTTCACTTTGTTCTTCATCAACAGGAGGTTCAAGATGTAAGAGGCAAGCATTGTAAGCCGTCTACAGGATTTCTTACTGTAGGACCCAGAGAGCAGATAACCAGTATTAGGGAATGAATGCATTTCACTGTTATCATGCAGCACAAAGGCAAGGCTTCATGCGTTTCCAAAGGCTTTTCTCTTTTTTTTTTGCACAAATTGGCTTGCTTTCACAGTACGATTTTATGGAGTAATGTGTTTATTTTTTTTTAAAACAATCTTTTTGTAGTTTGGTTTATCATCTAGCACTGGTGGCAGCGATGAATTTAGACTAACCCTACAGTATAATATCGTTTTCCTTGCCTGTATTATTTAGCAATTGCTGTTAAGTTCATGCCAGCATCCAAGAGTTTTTACCTAGCAGGACATGAGCTGTGAGGTGCAATTTGATGGGGTAATTCCTATGTTCCTATGCTCCCAATGACTCAGCACAAAAAGCAATGCATTTTCCCATTCCTGTAACCAGAGCTTGTCTGCAGCCCTACCTGAGACAGGACACAGGGCAGGAGAGCAACACTGGGGCTGGCCCAAGTCTGCACAGTAGAGCGAGATTTTGCGAGTATGCGTGCAGGCAAACGTTCCCAGTTCCCAGGCGGAGATGCCTCTGTCTGCCGGTGAAACGATCTAGTATCCAGAGCTCCATTTGCAACAAGGTATCACTCAGGAGTCACGTGCCACCTCCGGCAACCCCGCAGGCCTGTTATTTCTTCCTCTTGATTCCCAGCTCTGTAGCCACGTATAAAGATGTATGAAATAGGAAATGTAGAGGAAAGATATCTCAGCGACGGGGCAATCTCTTTGTTACTCTGTGCACTGAGAAATGGGGAAAACCGCAAGCAGCAAAATATCTGTGTGATACCCAACATTGTGTATTAGGTGGGTTTCTTCCGAAGGAATCTTCTCCTTTATGTGGAGCTTGTATTCTGGGCATGCAAGGGCTGCTATACTAAGCACTCTCTTCTGTTGCAAGTAACTTACATGCCAAAGGACCATTCTGTCTGTCCCAGGGATGTCTTATTTTCCACTTTGGTCACTGTTGCAAACTAAGTATTCTCCTCCCTACAAAATGATCGTGCTAGCGCAGGATGTGCTTCTGTGGGCACCAGGTCGCCCCATCAGCTTTGAAGCAGAAACCAAGCAGGAGCTCTGCCTGAAAACAGTGCGGGTGATTTGGTCCATCATTTTTTCCTACTACGTTGGTGCTTTTATGTCTTGTGTACCCACTTTTGTAGGCATTTGGGGAGTAGGGATCCAGCACCACTGACATCAATGGCAGTTTTACAGCTGATTTCAATCGGAGCAAGATCAGACCCTCTGTCATTTGTGTAAAGGCAAAAAGAGCTTACGTGACCAAGAAAACCATAGATTAGTGCATCTTCCATATTGTGTGTTTTATCACCTAGGGGCCAGACTCCCTCCTGATATAGGTGTCTGCAGTTGCCAGTGACGTGGCTGGAGAGTACATACCTGCATCAGAGGCAGGGGTTACCCCCAGGTTTTTAAAGATGTCCTGGAGAAAGTGCCTATTAATTTCTATTCTAACACAGAATTATAATCTGTCTCTCCCACCTGCTGGACAGTGACTCCTCACGCACGTTGTCTGAACTGGGCACCAGCTCAGATCCTGCTCCCATTGAATCCAGTTTAGATTGAAATCTCGCTCTCTGACTCCGGGGTGCATTTACCACAGCAGCGGCCCTTTAAAATCCGAAACCATGTTCTGCCTTCCATGACGACCTCCTTTAAACAGCCCTCAGTGTGAGGACTGACCTCCTGGGTGACAGAGCCAGCCTCAGTGGGTCAGTGCTCAGAGCACTGCATTTGGCTCTCCCCCATGCAGTCTCCCTGCCTTCAGCCATCATAACTGGTGCAAACCTTAGTGTAGACAGGCAAAGCCACTGTAAGCCATGCATGGCAATTTCCCCCTGCTGGAGACAAAAACAGCCAGCAAGGCTGGTGCAGCAGCACCGATCACATGGACGGAAGGGCATTGGTCACTTGGAGGGCTGTCCCAGTCACGCAGGGAAGTAGATGCTTTGTGGGAGAAAGGAACATTAATGACCTATTTTATGGGCAAGTGACTTGCTGGGGTCTCTGAGGGTTCTGTTGTTTGCTCTATAGTATTTGCATCAGAAGTGTTAATCAGGAAACAGAAATGACAGACAGGCAATTTACACTAGAGAAATCAATCCCTGTACAATTGAAAGCTTCTTGCACTAATACTTGAATTGTGGTCCACTTCTAGCTAATACTTAGCCCTGCCATGAGTGCAGGGGACTGGACTAGATGACCTCTCGAGGTCCTTTCCAGGCCTACGACTCTATGATTTTATGATTCCTGTGGCCCTCTGCGATGTTAGCAAGTTACGGTGCATTGGTTTCATAAATCTGGTTCCGCGGACATGGATCCGTGGTAAGTTTTGCTTTCTACATTTGGCTGTCGACCAAAGACAAATTCAGGGGAAGGAAGCAGGAGCATACAGGAGTAATGCCATGGCTGGCCACACGTGAATGTGAAGAGGAAGAACAAAAAATAACACTGAAACGGTGCCAAAAGAGCATTTTCCACAAATGTGCAATGTTCACGCGTGGCTATGTTCTAAGTGACAGCCATAGGATCCCAGGTTTAAAAACCAGAAAGGAAAGAAAATGTGGTATTTATCACTGTGCCAATACTCATGTTTATATGAGCTTTACAACTGTAGTAGCTTTAGATGTTGATGTCTTATTTGAGTCCTGCTTGAGAAAGTGTGAAGGGTGAATTTTCAATGTGTTACTAACCAGTGTGCTATTTGAGCAAGGGTGACTGTGGTTGGTCTTTTCCAACGGAGGCTGTATTCCGAGTTGAATGTACACATTTGATTGAATATGCAGTTCCTATAATTTCTTGTTGCTATTTTGCCTTTATTGGGATCTTGACGATCCCCTCTTCTCTGAAAACTTGTACTGATCTATGTCAATTACAGCATATAGGCACTTGTCAGTGCTCATACCAAAATACAAACTTAACCTTTACCACCATCCAATCACATAATAGCCTTGTTTGCAAATCCAGATCTTCATTGACCCCAGAGAAGAAGGCATATACATCACCATGGAAGGGCTGCATGCATCCTCCAACCTCTGATCATTGAGAAATCAGTGTTGTAAGAATGTGGTGAATACTGTATTTTGTATTGTTATTGAGGAAAAAAAAACACTTCCCAGATAATGTGAAAAAGTTTTTCTGAAAGGCAGCTTTATGGAGATATTATATACATTTGTGCTTTTTAAAATAATTCCTTTTCATATAGTATTTTGAAAATAAACACTTTTTATAGCTATATCATGTCTTTTGGTAAATGTGTATGCACTTATAATTTTCTTAATAAAATTTATACCCAAATGAAATTTGCACTTGTTTCAAATTAGTAAATGATATGTTTTTCCCCCGCACACGAACAGTCAGAAGGGCATTTACATTGGTTCTTTCTTGTTCTGGTAATTTCCCAGTCTCAAATTAAGTTTCCCTGAGCTCACACAGACTCAGACTGAACTCAACACGAGATGGCTGCCTGACTCTGCAGACAGCAGAATGCTGAGAGATTTTAAAGCGTCATTATTTTTCTGGATCTGCACTTCTCTAAGGTGTGGGGAGTTTAGATTTGGGGCTAGGCCCCTCTCAGTCCAGGTCCCTTTACTTTTATTCATTCACAGGATGTTTAAAAGAACAACAAACATATATAGGCAAATTATACTCTGCCTGGGAAACATGTCTAATGTCGGGGTGCCAGATCACGACATGCTATCAGCACATGGGAGCACCAAGGGCCAGGACAACATTCACTGCTCTCTGGACATGGAGGTAATGCCTGCTGTTCCAATGGAGTCAGTTAAGGCATCAAAATCAATGTCTCCACACACCCAATGTCTCCTGGCAGTGTCGCTATGTGTCCTGTTTGTAGTGATGGGAGCGCTGGCAGAGTTGGGCTTGTAGGATCAGACTCAGGGAGACAATGGGTGAAATCCTATCTCCAGCCAAGTCAATGGGAGATTTGCCATTGACTTCAATGGAGTCAGGGTTGTAACAGCTAAGCTAGACCCCCATCATATTGTATGTATAGTTGGGATTATGTTTTCCAATTTGCAATTATCAACACTGAATTTCATTTGCCATTTTGTTGTCCAGTCACCCAGCTTTGTGGAACTCTTCACAGTCAGCTTTGGACTTAACTATCTTGAATAATTTTGTATCGTCTGCAAACTTTGCCATCTCACTGTTTACCCCTTTCTCCAAATCATTTATGATGTTCCAAAGCAGCGGAGAGGTCTGGGAGGGTGGGGACAAGGTACAGGCCTTGAGGGGGAGGAGATCTTTAGAGAGACCTGCATGAAAGGGTTAATAAGACGTGAAGGGAAGATGTCATCCTGGACGCAGTATCTAAGCTGGTCACTAAGTGGGGAGAATGTGGTGAGGAATGGGAAGGGGGTGAAAGAGACAAATAGATAAGGAAGGGACCAAGCCTGAGCCCCTGGGAGCCGGGGCTGGAGGGGGGGTTGGAAATTCCAGTCAGGACCCACAGCCTGGCTCTGCAGCTGAGCCCATCTCAAAATCTGGGAACTTTTCCAGAATTTATACTATTCCCTTATTTCACCTCCCCCGCCTTGAGCCGCTCCAGATTTTACATGAGACCCAGTGCATGCTGGGAGTTTTAGTTAATGCTCTGCAGACGTGGATGGATGGCATGTGTCCTATAAAGCTGCTATCTATTTATTTGACTGGTGCGTCTTAATGCACTGGGGCAAGAGCCTGCAGCACTGTCGTTAGCGACTACAAATCACACGAGCCCCGATATAAATTACTGCACAAATTTCATGCGTTTCCCTTCCAGCCTTCAGGAGGTCAGCACCCACCACTGGAGGGACGGTGGGGTCGTTCAGGGGACGCTCACCATGTCTGCCAAGCCGTGCAGGAATAAAGAACCAGTGCAGGGACAGGACTGAGTGCAGAAGGGAGTCAGAGCCATGGGGGAACGGGCGTTGTTGTCTGTGGGTGGCGTGTCAGCCCAGTCCCCTCCAGCACTGCAGTCCTGCTTGCTCCAGGAGGGCAGTAATTTGTGCTGGTCTGTGCCAAAGGGGGCGTTTCCCCTTGCACGCTGGTAACACAGGGACAGCTGGCAAAGCCTCACAGAACTGAACGGAGCTTAGCCCACCCCACAGAGGGAGCCTAGTCACTCGCTCTCATACAGGGGCTGTGTTTAACACCCCTCCCCCCACATAGAGGTTTTAACTACCCCCTCCCCCCCACACACACCCCTCATACAAATCTTCCCTGGCCCCCATTACTTCAGTATCCCAGCTCTCCCCGATGCTCAGGGCACTGGTCCGCACACACCTCGGGGAGGTAGGACAGTGCTATTACCCCCATTGTACAGAGGGGAAACTGAGGCCCAGATCCTCAAAGGTAAGTAGGTGCCTAATTCCCACTGACATGGGAGTAAGGTGCCTAAATCTCTTGGAGAAGCTGGACCAGAGAGACTAAGTGCTTGTCCCAGGTCACACAGGGAGTCTGGGAGAAAGCAGGGACTCAGACCCAAGTCCGTGGCTAGTGCCCTAACCACTGAGCTGTCCTGCCTATCCCCAGTGTCTTGGTTAATTTCTCCCGTCCAAGATTGCTTTTACGTCCTGTCATAACTATAAAGGGAAGGGTAACAGCCCTCCTGTGTACAATACTATAAAATCCCTCCTGGCCAGAGACTCCAAAATCCTTTTACCTGTAAAGGGTTAAGAAGCTCAGGTAACCTGGCTGACACCTGACCCAAAGGACCAATAAGGGGACAAGATACTTTCAAATCTTGGTGGGGGTAAGGCTTTTGTTTGTGCTCTTTGGTTTTGGTGGAGTTCGCTCTTGGGACTAAGAGGGATCAGACATCAATCCATGCTTTCCAAATCTTTCTGAACAAGTCTCTCATATTTCAAACTTGAAAGTACAGCCAGGCAAGGCGTGGTAGTTATCTTTGTTTTCTCAACTTGTAAATGTACCTTTTACTAGGGTGTTTACCTCTGTTTGCTGTAACTTTGAACCTAAGGCTAGAGGGGGGTCCTCTGGGCTCTTTAAGTTTGATTACCCTGTAAAGTTATTGTCCATCCTGATTTTACAGAGATGATTTTTACCTTTTTCTTTAATTAAAAGCCTTCTTTTTAAGAACCTGATTGATTTTTCCTTGTTTTTAGATCCAAGGGGGTTGGATCTTGATCCACCAGGAGTTGGTGGGAGAAAGGAGGGGGGATGGTTAATTTCTCCTTGTTTTAAGATCCAAGGGGTTTGGATCTGTATTCACTAGGGAATTGGTGAAGAGTCTCTCAAGGCTACCCAGAGAAGGGAATTAGCACATTGGGAGTGGTGACAGCGAACCAGATCTAAGCTGGTAGTTAAGCTTAGAAGTTTTCATGCAGGCCCCCACATCTGTACCCTAAAGTTCAGAGTGGGGAAGGAGCCTTGACACGTACCCACCCACATACTTAGATATTTGTACATGCACCCCAGATACCAGTTCAGGGTGTTACACTCCTTCCCATATAGGTAGGCTTTCTGTACCCTAACCCTAACCCTCCCCTCATGCTGGGATTCTGTCACTTGCCCCCATATATGGGTTCCCCTCCATACCAAGAGGGTTATTTTAAATAACCCAAACCAAGCCCCATATTTTCACACCCCATAAATATGGGGT